GGGCATCCACCAAGGTGAAAATCCTGGCCTTGGGAAGCTTATAGAGGACATCCTCTAGTGTCGGCATGATGTAGTGGGATCGTTTCAGTGCTTGGTTCAGATGCTTTGGGTCGATGCAGACCCTCAGCTTCTCTGGTTTTTTCACTATGACCATATTGCTGATCCAGTCAGTTGGTTCAGTCACAGATGTCATGTGGCCATCGGCCTCATACTTGTCCAGCTGGGCCTTCACAGCCACTTTCATTGCAATGGGCACATTGCGAGGAGCACACTGGACTGGAGTAATGCTCTCATCCACTTCAAAGTGTACCTCCCCAGGCACTGATTCAACGGGCATGTTGAATACATCGTCATATCTGCTGAGTAGTTGTTCTTTGGACAGGGGTCCATGCTGGACATGATCCACAATGTGCAGGTCATTTGGTACAGTGAACTGCATCAGTCCCAGGCGTTCGCATGTAGAGCCTGAGAGGAGAGGATTTTGACTGGTTTTCACAATCTCGAACTCCAGCTTGTGTTTGCGTCCCCGAATAACACATTCGGTCTCAAAGGTGCCCATAGAGCTCATTAGTTCTCCTGAGTACAGCTTTAGTCTAGTATCGCTGGGAAATAGATGTGTGTCAGGTGCCAGATTGATTTTGTCTTTGTAGCTCATTACGTTGCATGTAGCACCCGAATCCAGTTGACATTGTTGTTGCTTGTTGTGTAATCGTAGTGTCACAAACCATTTCTTCCCTCTTGAGTGTACAGCCCCAATGGATTCATGCATGTAAATGTCACTTTCACTGTTCAGCTCTGAACATTGAGTAACATCATCAACACAGTGAATCTTGCCCTCACTCACCCTTCTTTTGCTTTTGAGACACACTTTTGCAAAGTGATTATTAGTTCCACAAGCTCTGCATGGTTTTCCATAGGCCGGGCAGTGCTCTTTGCCACGTGTGTGTGTATTCCCACAGTATTTACATGCTACGGGGCTCTCTGTGTTCACCGTTCGTGGTGAATTACTCTGCCTCGATTGGTTTTGTCTGAATGTCTGCCTAGCAACAGCGTGAACAGTATCAACGTCGGAGCGTGGGGTTTCCGTTTCCATTGCTCTCATTCTCATGTCAGTGACTTCAGCAGTGCGGCACATTTCGATGGCAGTTACTAATGTTAAGCCTCTCTCTCTCAGTAGACGCCGGCGCGTATTCTCATTTGCAATTCCCAGTACTATTTTGTCACGAATCAGTTCATCTTTCAATCCCCCGTATTCACAAGTGGCGGATTTCTCTCTCAAACGGGTTACAAAGTTGTGTACTGACTCACCCTCTTCCTGTTTGCAGCTTCCGAAAACGAACCGCTCGTAAATTACGTTTCTGGCGGGTTTGAAGTAATTCTCCAATGCATCCAATATAGCCTTTGCATCACACTGTTGTCGTGCCGTGAGGGTGAGATTGTGCCGGTAGATATGCCTGCATTCGCTGCCCATTAAACTCCTCAGAGTTGCCGCTTGTACCTCGTTGGGTTTCTCATGTAGACCGGTCGCCAGCGCATAGTCCTCGAATTCATCCCTGAAGTTGTCCCAATTAGTATTCCAGTCCCCTGTGAGAACCATGTGATTTGGTGGCGGAATGTTCGCTGCCATAGCAATGGAATAGGAGATTTCTTTGTCTTCAGTCATGGAGGTAGGTAGTGATGCTAGCTAGCCAGCTAACACGAGTTGATCAGTGTTGTGAGTAGGAAACGGCTTGTGTTCGCATATGGAACGTAACTGCGCCTATACTGTACTTAGCTACAAAAATAACAAACGTGTGTTTTCCGAGCCACTTCTGATACCATGTTTCTGTATGATATGTTGGATTAAGGAATAAAGACAGACACCAATGTTCAGTTCAATAGCCTTGTTGAGCCTTGTACAAAACCCTACGCGTGGAGTCTGGGGAACAGTCCAACTAGTCGATTACCTATCAACTAGACTCCGTAACAATTACCAAATGCAATAACGTTTTGTATGAACAACTCATTTTAATTTTTCAATTGTTAGATTACAAAACAATAACTTTTTCATAGCATGTTTGGCACGTTGGTCTTCACCTTTCTTTTATTTTGTTTTACTTCTGTGGTAACTTCAACATCAAGACAGCACTTAGAGCTTATGATTCAAAAGGTCTAAAATCAGTGCAAGTCTCATGTCCAGGGTGAATACATTTCTATTCATGTATATCAGACATCACACAGGCGTGTCAACTAAAATGTATATCCTAGTCAAGATTGAAGAATGGGTCAAATGGACAAAGTGAATATAAAGTCAGTGCTTTTGCCCATAGTACTTTGTATGAATTTGAGTGGTTACATACAATACATGTTGACAGAATGGCTGCGAGAGAGACTGTTTCTGTGCTCCCAGGTAAGGCCCCAGTATTCAGTCAGGCAGCTTGAAGATGATGTGTGTTACCATCCAGGCCCATGTCATGGCATGCAGTGGCCTGATAGGGAGATGCCAATAAATGTTTTATGTACCTTTCATCACCAAAGTCGTGTTAGCGTTTCCTGCACATGTTGCTGAACAATTCAACCTATTTGTAAGTCATTGATATATGAATAATCACTTATATTCAGTTCATAAGCATTGGGCTAATACCTTTAGGGTCCTGTTGTGAAACAACTGATGTGCAAGGTATTGGGCAACAGCTTTATTCCAGGGCCCATATTCACAAAGCATCTTCAGAGTAGGAATAGTGATCTAGGATCAGCTCTCCCTTGTCAATGTAATGATATTCATTGTGATCTAAAAGGCAAACCTGATCCTAAATCAGTACTCCTGGTACTCTGAGATGCTTTGTGATTATGGGCCCTGGTTGGACTGTTGACTGCTTTCTGTGATCAAACTACCTGAAATGCAACAAGAACATGAATAAGAATTAGCCTAGTCAGTCAGTAACTTAACTAACTAATGAAACACTCATATATATGTGCGCAAGTCTAATCAGCCTATTATATCAAAACAGCCTATTTGCAGTGAAATCAGGAGGGGCATTTAGCTATATTGCCAACTTTTTCAGTCTCCAATGCATCAACAAACAGGCAGGGGAACAAAGTAGTTTGACAAAAAGTGTTCAGTCGTCAGTACCTAGTCTAAAATATAGCTAGTTATTTTCTAGAAACCAACTACAGTCAACTTAGCTAGCTAAGGTGAACTCAGCTCAGACTGAATTAACGTTACCTAGCTTTCCCCCAGAAGTTTCAATCTAGCAAACTAGTTAATGGCATTTTCTGAACTTAATCAATCAGATGGATAGCTAGTAAATATTTATTTTCCCTGACATCTAAAGCAACCTGATACAGCTGGCCAGTTGATAATAAAGTAGGATGAATGATACAGCTAGCTAGCGGCAATGCCAATGGCTAGCCAGGAGTTCAGCTGAAATGTAGTGGAAGTGGAAACGTTTAGGAGCAATAACGCCTCAGCCACGAAATGGTAGGCCACACAAGCTCACAGAACGGGACCACCAAGTGCTGAAGCGTGTAAACATTTTCTGTCGTCGGTTGCAACACTCACTACCGAGTTCCAAACTGCATCTGGAAGCAACGTCAGCACAATAACTGTTCGTCTGGAGATTCATGAAATGGGTTTCTATGGCCGAGCAGCCGCACACAAGCCTAAGATCACCATGCGCAATGCCAAGCGTCAGCTGGAGTGGTGTAAAGCTCGCTGCCATTGGACACTGTAGCAGTGGAAACGCGTTCTCTGGAGTGATGAATCACCTTCACCATCTGGCAGTCCGATGGACGAATCTGGGTTTGGCAGATGCCAAGAGAACGCTACCTGCCCACTATTGCCAACTGTAAAGTTTGGTGGAGGAGGAATAATGGTCTGGGGCTGTTTTTCATGGTTCAGGCTAGGGAAATCTTAATGCTACAGCAAACAATGACATTCTAGACAATTCTGTGGTTCCAACTTTGTGGCAACAGTTTGGGGAAGGCCCTTTCTTGTTTCAGCATGACAATGCCCCCGTGAACAAAGCGAGGTCCATACAGAGATGGTTTGTCGAGATCGGTGTGGAAGAACTTGACTGGTCTGCACAGCCCTGACGTCAAACCCATCAAACACCTTTGGGATGAATTGAAACGCCGACTGCGAGCCAGACCTAATCGCCGAACATCAGTGTCCGACTTCACTAATGCTCTTGTGGCTGAAGGGAAGCAAGTCCCCACAGAAATGTTCCAACATCTAGTGGAAAGCCTTCCCAGAAGAGTGGAGGCTGTTATAGCAGCAAAGGGGGGACCAACTCCATATTAATGCCCATGATTTTGGAATGAGATGTTCGACGATCAGGTGTCCACATACTTTTGGTCATGTAGTGTATATTAAACGTTTGCCATAACCAGTTGGCATGCATGCTAAAAGTCCCATTTGCCAGTCAAAAATGTTAAGCTCAACAGTTGCAGTTGCTTAAAAGATGGGATGGAATGGACACTGCTAAGATTCGAAATAGCTGTGTTGAAAACATCCTCACTCATTTCTTCCATGTTTACTGCTTCGCGCGTGTCCACACGGATGAAGTTAGTGTAATGGAGGGATTTGGCCAAGTTTCCTTTTGCAAGGGATGAGACTTTGCTTCCTTCCTTCCTTCCTTCCGTCCGTCCTTCCTTCCTTCCTTCCTTCCTTCCTTCCTTCCTTCCTTCCTTCCTTCCTTCCTTCCTTCCTTCCTTCCTTCCTTCCTTCCTTCCTTCCTTCCTTCCTTCCTTCCTTCCTTCCTTCCTACCTTCCTTCCTTCCTTCCTTCCTTCCTTCCTTCCTTCACACAACGGAAATCACACAATTGTTAATGTCATTCCCCCCAGAAGTTAAACGGGTAGTGACAACTTTTACGAGAATTTTACTTCTGGGTAGCCGAGATGACCTATAGCATTATATAACAAATACTATTGTTTTGTCCTTGGTTTTACAGTATTATTATTGAATAGACACCTGTTGTTGCATGAAGACTATAGGCTAAAAGACAGTAGCCTATTCAGGCAGTGGCATCCATCTTCCTAGCCATCTTCTGGTCACAGGTGGCCACTGTGTCAGGGGAAGTGAGATCAGTACCATATCTGCTGCTCACGTTTGTTTTGGCTTTTGTTTGCTGTACGTCCAATGTCACCTTCTTGCCCTTCATGTTCTGCTACCCCCTTCAATACATACGCACATTCTTCGTTGGCCAGGGGCTCAGTGTCCTGTTCCCCTGTGTTGTGGCTTTGGGGCAGGGTGTGGGGAAATTGGAGTGCAAAAAGGAGATGGCACGGTACTACCTGGAAGAAAACGTCCCTGCCCAGGACATCTTTTGGTTCCTGTTTGTAATGCTGACAATCTCAGCCCTCTGCTTCGTGGCTTTGACGTGTAGAGAAATAACAGAGCCAGCATCACAGGAAGACACCCCAGAGCCTGAGACAGCCACAACAAAGGATAATGGGGAGGAGAACCACCCGCTCCAGAACCAGTGTCTGAGGATTAAGTGGAGTTGGAGAAAGCAGCCCCGGTCCAAACCTTCTGGACGCCACGCAACATCTACCTGCTGGTGCTACTAGGTGTGTCCAACTCCCTGACCAACGGAGTCCTGCTGTCTGTCCAGAGCTTCTCCTGTCTGCCACACGGCACCATGACCTATCACCTCTCTGTGGTCCTCGGCAACATTGCAAACCCACTGGCCTGCTTTGTGGCCATGTTTGTCCTCTGCAGGTGAGTGAATGTGACTGAGTTACACTGCATACTTACTGTGTTGCACCCTCATGTATAGTAATTGATTGATATTGATAGAAATATTCAGTGATGTATAAATATTTTATAATGTAAATATGGACAGACTGTAGGCCTAGATATGATTTGGAATAATCGTACATGGTTTATTTATGTTGAATCAGGTGATCTTTCTGGTTGTGTTTTTTTTAATCTGTTGCAGGTTGTCTGTGGGTCTTGGTTTCATGTCTATAGCAGGTGGGGTCTTTGTAGCCTACCTCATGGCTCTTGCAGCTATCAGCAAATGACCTCCTCTCTTGGGGAGCCCTACCGGTGTATCCTTGGTGGTAAGTCATTTCAACCATAATCTATTAACTACTAGGCCTATCACCTTGTTTGCTACAACCTATTGATTGAGGCTACTACTGATAATGAAAGAGATTTTGTTTGTCTTGAAGTGCACTCACTTTTTGGGTTGCCATGATGTGTAGTGTGTGCACTTGTAATGAGGGGATTTAAGATCACTATAGATTAGGTGTGATCCAGACCTGAGTTCAAATACATTTGCATTTAAGTATTTGTAATTTTAATACTTATATTCTGTGTATTTGAGTATTTTCAAAAAATGTGGAGCCGAATCAGCTACTTCTATTTGAAGTATTTCCTATACATAGCCTACTATTTTCAAATACTTGTTTCCAAATATATAATTTCCAATAATCCTAAGGACCAAACAGACCTGGCATCAAATGCATGGGAGTATTTGAAAATGTGTATTTGAAAATACACTTGCCTGAGTATTTTCAAATATGTGCCAATACTTTCCAAGTGTATTTCCAAATACATTCCAATATTCAACTACTCATATTTTCAATGAAAAAATATCGAAATACTTATATCGAAATGTATGTGAAAGTAACTGAAATAATTGAAATAGTATTTGAACCCAGGTCTGGTGAGATCAACACAATGTGTAGCATATTTAGAGTATCTGTAACCCGGACGACAGTTGTATGTTTCTGCACAGGTGGTGTCCTGGATCATCTTCATGGGTCTGTTCTCCTACCTGAAAGTAGTGATCGGGACTCTGCTCCACGAGGCCGGCCACGCTGCCTTGTTATGGTGCGGTGTCTTCATCAAGGCTGGCTCACTCATAGGGGCCCTCTCCATGTTCCCCCTGGTCAGCATCTACCACGTGTTTGCCAGGTCTCAGGACTGCGTGGACAACTGCAGTTAGGCACCAGGAACTACAGCTAGCTGGGTGATCACGTCAGGGATGGTAGATGGAACACCCTTTCCAGGCCAGGTAGAAGAAGGGCTGTTGTTGGGTTGATGGGTGGTTCTGTGATGGGAGCCAGAGAATGATTTTTAGTCCTGGACTAGGCTTAATCTTCGACTGGGAACCCGGCCCTATGAAACTCAATAATCACGTTTCCATCTACAGTTTTTATGCGAGTAAAGTCATACCATATAAGAACAAAACACGACAAATGACCATTTTCTAAATTCCAACGGATAATTTGTTCGTTCGACATGGTTGGAGCTTTTTGTGCTGGTAAAATGTATTATGCAAGAAATGGCGGTGGAATTGCCTCTATACGCAAATGTTGATATACTGTAATAACCATCATGTCGAAGTAAACTTAGGAGTCACGCGTTAATATGGCAAGTGTCTTCACTAATTACATTTTCAACCTCTCCCTGACCGAGTCTGTCATACCCACGTTTCAAGCGGACCACCACTATGGTGGATATCCTGCAACAATTGGCTGTTGAGACTGTTCTGTTAATTTGTTTACATTATTGAAATTCACTAAGAATGCGAAGCTAACCTGCCTAAATGACTACGTCGGTAGCCATGAAGTGCTTTGAAAGGCTGGTCATGGCTCACATCAACACCATCATCCCTAGAAACCCTAGACCCACTCCAATTCACATACCGCCCCACAGATGATGCAATCTCAATCGCACTCCACATTGCCCTTTCCCACATAGACAAAAGGAACACCTATGTGAGAATGCTGTTCATTGACTACAGCTCAGCGTTCAACATCATAGTGCCCACAAAGCTCATCACTAAGCTAAGGACCCTGGGACTAAACACCTCCCCTGCAACTGGATCCTGGACTTCCTGACGAGCCACCCCCAGGTGATAAGGGTAGGCAACAACACATCTGTCAGGCTGATCCTCAACATGGGGGCGCCTCAGGGGTGCGTGCTTAGTCCCCTCCTGTACTCCCTGTTCACCCACGACTGCGTGGCCAAGCATGATTCCAACACCATCATTAAGTTTGCTGACGACACAACAGTGGGAGACAGCCTATAGGGAGGAGGTCAGAGACCTGGTAGTGTGGTGCCAGGACAACAACCTCTCCCTCAATGTGAGAAAGACAAAGGGGATGATCGTGGACTACAGGAAAAGGAGGGCTGAACAGGCCCCCATTAACATAGACATGTTGAAAGTTTCAAGTTCCTTGGTGACCACATCACCAACAAACTATCATGGTCCAAGACAGTCGTGAAGAGGGCACAACAACACCTTTCCCCCTTCAGGAGACTGAAAAGATTTGGCAAGGGTCCCCATCAACCTCAAAAAGTTCTACAGCTGCACCATCGAGAGCATCCTGACTGGTTACATCACCGCCTGGTATGGCAACTGCTCGGCATCCGACCGCAAGGCGCTACACAGGGTAGTGCGTAAGGCCCAATACATCACTGGGGCCAAGCTTCCTGCCATGCAGGACCTATATACTAGGCGATGTCAGAGGAAGGCCAAAAAAATTGTCAAACACTCCAGTCACCCAAGTCATAGACTGTTCTCTCTGCTACCGCATGGCAAGCGGTACCGGAGCACATAGTCTAGGTCCAAAAGGCTCCTTAACAGCCTCTACCCCCAAGCTATAAGACTGCTGAACAATTAATCAAATGGCCACCCGGACTATATACATTGTTTTTACAGTGCTGCTACTCACTGTTTATTATCTGTGCATAGTCACTTTACCCGTAACCTACATGTACAGTGAAGGAAAAAAGTATTTGATCCCCTGCTGATTTTGTACGTTTGCCCACTGACAAAGACATGATCAGTCTATAATTTTAATGGTAGGTTTATTTGAACAGTGAGAGAAAGAATAACATCAAAAAAATCCAGAATAACGCGTGTAAAACATGTTATAAATTGATTTGCATTTTAATGAGGGAAATAAGTATTTGACCCCTCTGCAAAACATGACTTAGTACTTGGTGGCAAAACCCTTGTTGGCAATCACAGAGGTCAGACGTTTCTTGTAGTTGGCCACCAGGTTTGCACACATCTCAGGAGGGATTTTGTCCCACTCCTCTTAGCAGATCTTCTCCAAGTCATTAAGGGTTCGAGCCTGACGTTTGGCAACTCAAACCTTCAGCTCCCTCCACAGATTTTCTATGGGATTAAGGTCTGGAGACTGGCTAGGCCACTCCAGGACCTTGATGTACTTCTTCTTGAGCCACTCCTTTGTTGCCTTGGCCGTGTGTTTTGGGTCATTGTCATGCTGGAATACCCATCCACGGCCCATTTTCAATGCCCTGGCTGAGGGAAGGAGGTTCTCACCCAAGATTTGACAGTACATGGCCCCGTCCATTGTCCCTTTGATGCGGTGAAGTTGTCCTGTCCCCTTAGCAGAAAAACACCCCCAAAGCATAATGTTTCCACCTCCATGTTTGACTGTGGGGATGGTGTTCTTGGGTTATAGGCAGCATTCCTCCTCCTCCAAACACGGCGAGTTGAGTTGATGCCAAAGAGCTCGATTTTGGTCTCATCTGACCATAACACTTTCACCCAGTTCTCCTCTGAATCATTCAGATGTTCATTGGCAAACTTCAGACGGGCCTGTATATGTGCTTTCTTGTGCTTTCTTGAGCAGGGGACCTTGCGGGCGTAGTGGGTTACCAATTGTTTTCTTGGTGACTATGGTCCCAGCTGCCTTGAGATTTGCATTGACAAGATCCTCCTGTGTAGTTCTGGGATGATTCCTCACTGTTCTCATGATCATTGCTCCATGAGGTGAGATCTTGCATGGAGCCCTAGGCCAAGGGAGATTGACAGTTATTTTGTGTTTCTTCTATTTGCGAATAATCACACCAACTGTTGTCACCTTCTCACCAAGCTGCTTGGCGATGGTCTTGTAGCCCATTCCAGCCTTGTGTAGGTCTACAATCTTGACCCAGACATCCCTGGAGAGCTCTTTGGTCTTGGCCATGGTGGAGAGTTTGGAATCTGATTGATTGATTGCTTCTGTTGGCAGGTGTCTTTTATACAGGTAACAAGCTGAGATTAGGAGCACTCCCTTTAAGAGTGTGCTCCTAATCTCAGTTTGTTACCTATATAAAAGACACCTGGGAGCCAGAAATCTTTCTGATTGAGAGGGGGTCAAATACTTATTACCCTCATAAAAATGCAAATCAATTTATAACATTTTTGACATGCGTTTTTCTGGATTTTTTTGTTGTTGTTCTGTCTCTCACTGTTCAAATAAACCTACCATTAAAATTATAGACTGATCATTTCTTTGTCAGTGGGCAAACTTACAAAATCAGCAGGGGATCAAATACTTTTTTCCCTCACTGTACAAACTACCTCGACTAACCTGTAACCCCGCACATTGACTCGGTACCGGTACCCCCTGTATATAGCCTCATTATTGTCATGTAATTTTATTGTGTTATTCATTTTTTTATACTCTAGTTTATTTAGTAAATATTTTATTAACTCTATTTCTTGAACTGCGTTGTTGGTTAATGACTTGTAAGTAAGCATTTCATGGTAAGGTCTACCTACACCTGTTGTATTCGGAGCATGTGACAAATAAAATTTGATTTGATTTGATTTTTGGTTCTCCCACTACGACTCGGCTACAGATTACATAAATTATGATTCACTTCATAGGGTGGTGAAAGTGCATGGTGACCTTGATGCTCCTTTCCAATAAATATTGATGGTCTTATTCTGGTCCCATGATGATCGATGCTTGACTGCCGTTTGACAAATTAACATATTCTCGCTCTTATCCAGCCCCGCACAGCCTACCCGCACTGTGAGTTGTTGGCTAGAGTGCACATGCCAAGACCAGGGTGTTACAGGAGGGGGTCGCAGTTCCGGAGCAACCCACTAGGTGTCCTCCTCCGACAACCTTAGGCACCCCCTCACTCACAGTCTGGACTAATCATGATCCTATTGGTGTCACCTGTGTCTACCTGTTCACCTGTGTATTTATGCCCTCACTTCCCTGTGTTCCCTTGCTCAGTTTTCTCTGCTAGTTTCTCAATGCCA